CCGGGGGACGCCACCTGGACTGCAAGAGCAGCCCGCGGCGAAGCGGGGTGTGCTGGCCTCAACTCATCAACATCACATCAGTCTGCAGGCAGTCCACACCTGCTGCCTCACCCGCATCCCCATTCATGCGCAGAGGGCTCCGGGCCCAGCCACTTTTGGAATCTCCCCCATATGCAACTCACATACTCACTTGCGCATGTGCTCCCATGTTGAAGTGAGTAACCCAGCGTACCTGCGACCACCCCAGCATCAGACAAGGCCTCTTGATCTACTTGACTAGCCACATTCACACCTAGTGGCCTGATCGCCTGGGTTGCTACATGCGCCATGCACGGCCCAGAGCCTCGACGGCGCAAGTCGCCACGCAGCGAGTGCGCAGAGGTTGCAAGCATAACCGCCCAGCAACTGTGTGCGGAGCAGGCTCCGCTGAAAGGATTGGGCACATTTGCTCTCGCTACTCTGATGGTTACTATGATGACGATGTAGGGGCCCAGTTGCCAATGGCGGGCTGTCGGATGCTGCGGTTACAACGCCTGGAGCTGAGATGGCGTGGCTGCAGCCCCCTTTCAAGCCTTTTGCGTGCGGCAGTGTCTGGCAGTCGGCGCTCACACCCAAAAATCGCCTTACTGGCGCAGCGGCTCGGGCTCATGGGCAGTGCAATGAGGTTGCAATCATGGAGGCAATCAGAATTGCTGGCACGTGTGTTTCTTGCCAATGATGCGATTAACGCTCTGCCTTGCCACACTCCACGTGCCGTCCTGCTGCCATCCGCCGCCATGGCCGGCCACCATCAAAGTCGATTTGTCACAGGTCGTAAGGCTACCATGCATGTGGTGGCGTGTGTGTGCGGTAAGATCAAATTGAGGAGGAATAGGGTTTTCTACATGGATGGCAGCGACGGCAGTGAGTCCTGGTGGAACATCTGGAACCACTCCCACGCCTCTTGCGCGGCGGCACCCCCACCGACGCCCCTCGTCGCCGCGCCGCCAGGCCCGCTGCTGGGCAACGCGGCCGGCGACGGCAACAGGGCCGGAGCGTGGCCGATTGCTGGTGCCATCGAGGCAGCTGGCACGCCGTCCAGCGCCATGCGCGCAGCGCCCTGATGCGTCGGGCCCTCCGCCGTTTGACCCGCCAGCGGCCAGCCCCCCAAGTGGTGGGGGTAGCTCTCCGCTGAAGACCACGGCGTTGTGACGTGCTGCGGCTGCTGCTGCTGCTGCTGCTGCTGCTGCTGCTGCTGCTGCTGCTGCTGCTGCTGCTGCTGCTGCTGGATGTCTGGATGGCCCGGCCACCCACTTGCCGTCACATCATGGCCACCATAGTTGGCCGGGCTGGTCCGCGGCCGGTCCAGGTGGTGGTGCTGCAGGCGCCCCTGCTGGAAGATGTGTGACGCCTGGGGCTCGCCACCTGCCGCCCCTATGTTGTCCTGTGGCCAAGCAAGCCCCCAGCTCATGAACCCATGCGCATGGCTCTGAGGGGCGGTGCTGGGGCGCCAACCGGCCGGCGGCGCCGAGACTGCGGGCGGCGGGGGGCCGAGAAGCCATCCATTGCCTGCTACCGGGTCTGCTGATGTCACGGTGACACCAGTGGGCAGCTGCTGCAACTGAGGCACCGGCAGGAGGCCGGGAGCAGGGCCGCCCCCTGCCGGCAGGCCGTCCAACGGCGCGGCCCCCGGCGGCTGCCGCTGCCGGCGCCCCTGCTGGGAGAACGAGTCGGCGCTGCTGCTCGTGCTGCTGCTGCTGACGTGGGGTTCGCCGCCACACGGCAGGGCGGCCAGCCCCGCCTCAGGCTTCACGGGCTGCTGGCTGGCGGCCGGCAGTGGCCCAGGGACTGCCCCATCGCCGACGCCTGCGCTGCCCCCGGCCCTTCCTGCTGGCAGCGGCAGCGGCTGCGGCAGTGACGGGGGCCAGCCGATCGCCGCCGTCGTCGGAGGCCCGCCGGTCTCATCACCTGCCAGAGGGCCGGCTTCTACAGGCCCCCAGCTCGGGCCCGATGCGCCGGCAAAAGCGCCCTGCCGTGCAGAAGATGCCAGCAGCCCCAAGCTGGGCGGCATGGTCAGCGGCGAGGAGCCGAGAGGCAGCTGCAGCTGGAGCGGCGCCGGCGCCGGATGGTCATGCATCTCTAGCTGGTAATTGGCTTGGTGGTCTGCATCCGGCTGCGCACCAAACACCAGCGGGGCCGCCAGGCTGCCCCCCAACCTGGCATTGAACTGCAGCTGCATGCCACTGCTGCTGAGCTGCGGCGGAAAGAAGGCGCTGGCCGCGCCCATCTGCAGGCCCCCAGCGGCTGCCGCGGCTGGTGTTGGTGTGCCCGGCGCGACGAGGGGCGCAGGCAAGAACGGGCCGCTGGAAGCCTGTGCCGCCATCATGGCTGCGGCCGCGGCCGCGGCGGCGGCAGCGGCCGTGGCCGCGGCGGGCGGCGTGGAAGGCGTGAGGACGGGGACGGGCGCCGCCCCAGGTGGAATGTGAAGGGGCGATCCGTGGTGGATCTGGTGCAGCAGGCCGGCAAAGGCGGCGGGGATCTTGGCGGTGAAAGCCCTTAGAGCTTCCTGCTCCACCTGGAACAGTGAGTAGTGGGTCGGAACCTGGGATCTGCACACTGCCAACTCTAGAACGCAAGACCCGCCCGCAGACCGGGTCCACATGCAGTTGAATGTTTCCAAAGCAGCCTGCGGCATGCATGCACCGCCGCGGCAGAGCAGGCGCACGACGGTGCGCGCCTCTGTGTCTGCCGTCCTGCGCAGCGCCAGTACCATCTCTTTGCGTGGCAGGGCTGCCAGCTCCTGGGGTTGAGTTTCGAGCACGACAAACACCATCGTGTTGGTGCTTGCTGCTTCCAAAACAGCCAGGATCACCCACTGTTTCTAAAAGCTGCATGTTCCGCCGGCTTGAAAGCACACAGGGATCCAGGAGCAGAGGCAGGCGCGCTCGTCATCTTGCTAGTTCAAGGCGAGCCGTTGAACATGCGCCCGAGCCCGCGCAGCGCCTGTGCGCGAACACAGACCCATGCACGCGCGTGCAACACACACACACACCTGCAGCACCAGGTCTGAGTCGTACTCCTCTGCTGCAAAATTAAGCTGCGTTGCGCGGCCCCGCAGGAGCAAAGCGGCGCGGTCGTACGCCCTTGATTGAATTGGATGGAATGCAAGCGCACGGGAGGGGAGGTTTGGGTGGGTTGCAGGCCGCATGTGCCAGCACATTCTCACTTGGGGTTGAGGCGCAACCGTGACCCATGCATGCCGAAGTGAAGTGAAGTGGCCCACTGACAGCCCTTGCCTGTGTTTGTTGCTCACGACGACAATCCTGTGCGAAGCACCAAACGACCCCACCAAAACAAGGCGCCCACCTCGCTGCCTGCACAGCCGTCAGGAACGACCCCAGGTGCAACTGCCGGCCCTTGGCGCTCTTCTTCCGTTTCTGCACGCCGCCGCTGCCGCCGCCGCCTGTGCGGCCCGCCGCCTTTCCGCCGCAGCTCCCCTTGCTGCGCGCCGGCGCTCCGTCTGCGGTGGTGGCGGCGCCGCCGCCGCTGTCGTCGCTGCAGCTGCCGTCGGCGTGCATGTACATGGGTTGGGATAGCCAGATGTGGCTCTCCCACCTGCAGCGGAGATTGTGAAGGGGCCAGAAAGCATTCTATGCAGAGAAGAGGGAGAGATTTGGAAGGTCGAGGGGCAAAAGAGGAGCTCCAGCCGAGGCAGCTGCATCACCCATTGACACGCGAGGCTATTGTGTGACAGCTGGAATCGGCAACACTGGACTGCTAAGACATTAAGGACTGCCCAGTGTTGAACTTCAGAAAAGCAAAAAATGGGCAGGCCTGAAGCCTCGTCATCGCACCTGCCCGTGCGCTTGTACTGGCTGACGCCGATGAACGGCGACAGGCGGCTCTTTGGCCCCGAGCGCCCGCGCCGGTGCTGCGGGTGCGCGGCCGGCGACGCGGTCATCTCATAGTCCTCCGTTCCTGCTTCGGTAACCGCGGGGATGGCTAAGGGGGCGAGAGGTGCGGGGCTGCAGGGGCCGCCGCCAGTGGAGGCCGCGGCACCGGTGGCCGGGGGTTGGGATGCGGCCTCGCGTTCGCCGCTGCGGCCGCTGGGGCCGGCGTCGCTGCAGGTGGCGTCGTCGCCACCCGCCTCAGAGGGGCTGCTCTTGCGGCCCCCACCGCGAGCTTTTGCAGCAGCTCCTCTTTTTGGCGGACCCATGACGCCTCAGCGCGCGCCCCGGCTGCCTTGACCAGGGGGCTGGGTTCGGGTGCCTGTTGGTCTGCCGGCTTCTGCTCCTGCTGCAGCAGCTGCTGGTGGTGGCCACCAGCAGCCCCAGGCTCTCGGACGGTGAGGCGGCGCACCGGCGCCAGGGGACGTGCGGCTGCGCCGCTGTCGAATGAGAAGCCCGGGGTTGAGGGAGCTGGGGGCTCAGGGCGCTGCTCCTTGGGCCACATCACATGCACATAGGGAACCTTGTTGGCAGGTTCAGCTGTGAATCCACGCGCCGGGGGGTGGATGATCGATCGGCAGGTGTGCTGAAGCGGAAACGCTGACCAGAGCTGGGGTTTGCTTTGTACACGCAGGATCAACTTGAGCCGTCCCGTGGAAGTTCGGCAACTCCGAGAATCTCAGCAACGAGCTGATGCAGAGAGTACCTTCACACATGTATATCAATAAAAATGGCGTGGACGAACAATGCACGCATAGACACAGGCTTTTGGGCCCTGCAACAAGCGGTCAACGAATTGGACTTGAAGAAGTCGATGCCGCCTCGCCTGCCCGTCACGATGACACACCCCAAACATCAAGGCCCCGAGTCACTGCTGTACAGGCTGTTACAGGGCTTTCTTACAGCCAGGCGAAGTGCTTGGCCAACCTGCCAATTCTCCAATCGTCAAAGCGGCAGTACACATTGTGCCCCTCAGCTTTTTCTGAGCCCCCTTCCCCCAGCAGTCCCCCCTGCCCGGTCCCCATTGGCTGTGCCGGACACCTCTACCACCAAGCATGGATTTCCCAGCTCTGCCTACTGATCCTTCTCTGGCGCCGATCCCGCCGCCGATGCGCCACCAGCCGACACATAGCTCGCCACGCTACTCCCCAGCTTGCTGAGCGCAACCGAAAAGTAACCACTGCCGTTGGACCCCTGCGTGCGCTCCACCGGCGTCGCCGCCCCGCTTAAGCCGGCAGCCCCGCTGCCGCCGCCCGCGCTCCCGCCCCCGCTGATGCGGCGCTGCTTGAGGGACGCGAACGCGAGGCCGCCCGCGCTGGAGCGGCGCGCGACCTCGCCATCAGGCAGGGGCAGGAAAGCAGGGTCGGGCTCGGTGCTGGTAGGCCTGCGGTGAAATTGATTAGGTGCGCGAAGGAGATCCATCAAAGGTGTGATGAAGCTTGGAGGTGGAGGGTCGGCAACCAGGCTTGGACGTCCTACCACAACACGGTAGATGGCAAGCGAGAATTCTGCGCACACCTGGCACCGCCCGTGCTGGTGGCTGCAACGGACTTCGGGAGCTTGGCCATCTCTTGCCTCACAACCTGTTTCTAAGGTAGCGAGCGTTGCAATCGAGGCAAAGCGCGATATGTCAGTGGGCGCGCGAAGGCCGACTTGGTGGCTGCAACGCTGCTGGCACGTTGCTTGGACTGTTGGACATGCATGCACACACGCACGCTCTCTCCTGATTTTTTTTGCGTTACATTCTCTCCTGCAGGCCCAGCCACCTTTCGTCCCCATGTGCATGCACTCACCATCCTACCCCTACACCCACCTTGGACGCGTCCTCATCATCGCTCATATCCGCCTCGGTCAACTCATTCATGTACGCCAGCTGCGCGCTCTTGTCCTTGTCGTGCTCCTTGTTCATCTGAAGGCCGCGCCAAACCACGACGCCGACCAGCACCATGAACACAGCGCCGCCAATCACGATCCCTGCGATCGCGCCGGGCCCCAGCTGCAGGCGGCCGCCATCCCCGCCGGCGGACCCAGAGGCAGCCACAGCGGCGGCGGCTGCGGCGGCGTCTTGTGGGACGGCGGTGTCGCCGGCCTTGAGGGCCGAGGGGCTGGTCTGGCTGGCCTGGAAGGACAGCAGCGGCCCCCACGAGGACGCAAGGCCTGTGAAGTGTCGAGGGCGAGCACACGCAATATGAACAAATGGTGAACAGCATTGGCCGGCTGCACACCAATCATTCACAGGTGTCAAAGTCGGCAAGAGCCTGGTTTCTCAGCATCAGGAAGCTGAGGTGGTGTGTCGGCTGCCCGGTGAGTCCGCAGGCTGGGCCGCCCCTTGGGATTCTCACCTGATGACGCGTACGAGCCGGCGGCGCCGTCCTGAAGCCGCTGCATCACCACAGCAGACTGGTCGGCCGGCGCGTCGGCGGTCAGCACGACGGTGCCGGCGGCCACCACGCTGCCACTGGTGATCATGTCGATGCCTGTTGGTCGCACGTGCAATCAGGCAGTTGCCGTGCCAATGGCAGGTCCCTGACCTCACGCGCACCCATATCTCACAGCTGAACGCACTGCGCCGCTGGGCTCCTTTCGCACCGGCAGAACCCAAGGCGACCCGCCCGCCCCCCACTCCGCCGCCACCGACGCCAACTCACCTGCTGAGTAGACGTACTCGGGCGCCCCCGTGGCAGCCTTGAGCCACGCCACCACGTCCGACTTGAACGCCGCTTGGGCCCCCACGTCATCCTTTATGAGGTCGTACGAGTGGTCGACCCGCAGGTTGACGTATATCTTGGCGCCGGGCTCCTTGGACTGCAGCAATGGATGGGCAACCTCGAGGGCTGGGAGAGCCGGGGGTGCGGACTCCGCCGTGGAGCTGGAGGCGGCTTGCGGCGCTGAGCCGCTGCTGGAGGCGGCCCCCGGTGAGGAGGGCGGCGGGCTGGTGCTGTTGGGGCGCAGGCACTGGTGGTAGTAGGCGTGCTGCCGGTGGCACTCGAGCCCCGCCGCGCAGCACGCGCCCGCCCACACGGCGTCTGCGCAGCCCCACTCGGTGCAGTTGCTCTTGCCGCCGCACTGATCCCACTCGGCGATGCGGGGGCCGCGGCAGCCGTCCTTCCACTGCATCGCGGGCGGCTCCGCGGCACAGTAGTCAAACGCGACCTGAGTGGAGACGTTGACCTGCACGTAGCCAGCAAATCTGTCGCACTTTTCTGGGTCGATCGGACACCACGTCCCGAGCGCGTCCCCATCAGGGTTTGCGCAGCCGTACAGCGCCGTCCTTGTGCCGCCAACCGCGGCCACCGGCGTATCCCGAGGGTACGCGTATGCCCAGTCGCTCAGCAAACAGGCGCAGCCGTGGATGGTTGCTGGGGCGCCCATGCCCGCATAGAGCGCGGCAGCCGCGTCGCCGACTGGAGCGGGGCAGGAGTCAAAAGCGCCAACGGTCGTGTTGGCAGGGCACGTGGAGTAATCCACCCTGCACTTGCGACCTGGGTTGGGTATTGTTGCAATGCAGCAAACGCGCTGTCGGGGTATATTTTTATTTCAATCGAATGCAAGCAATTCAGAATGCACCTGCAGCGTGTGTGCCTCTGCCTGGCCCTCCTACTCTCCCTTTCTGCGGTACGGCAGCGGAAAAAGTAGTGACAACCAGTTGTCACTACTTCTTCCGCTGCCGCTGCCGCTGCCGCTGCCGCTGCCGCCGCCGCTGCCGCTGCCGCTGCCGCTGCCGCTGCCGCTGCCGCTGCCGCTGCCGCTGCCGCTGCCGCGCCGCTGCCGCTGCTGCTGCTGCTGCCCCTGCCGCTGCCGCGCCGCTGCCAACGCCAGTGCTGCTGCTACTGCTGTTGCTACTGCTGCTGCTGCTGCTGTTGTTGCTGCTGCTGCTGCTGCTGCTGCTGCTGCTGCTGCTGCTGCTGCTGCTGCTGCTGCACTGCTGCGGACAATGTGAAGCGAGTGGCTGCTCTAGGATGCCTACACCATTGCTCAATCTTGCCTCTCTATTAGCGACTCACACGACCACACAAGCGCGCCAGCGCGCACCTCCATTCGCCGAGTCAGGGTGGGCGCAACGGTTGTGGTATGCCTCCTTGCCAATGCCGTCCATCCTCCAGTCCGTCGCGCACAGGCAGCCATTGGTTGTGCGCTCTGCAGAATGCGGCAAGGGGGCCGTCAGGGTCCATGGTATGGTGCATCGTCTCACAGTGCATGCCAGTGATAACCTCTTAATGCAGCTGTTGCTGCTGCTGTTGCTGCTGCTGCTGCTGGTGCTGGTGCTGGTGCTGCTGCTGCTGCTGCTGCTGCTGCTGCTGCTGCTGCTGCTGCTGCTGCTGCTACCACATGCGCTGCTCGCTGATCAACATTGAGTGTTCGACACAAAATCCCTGACACCCAGGCGGTGGTGCCTGCCACGCAGTGCTGCTCAGGCCCTTGTGACGCCAAGCGCGTGACTCACCCCTGACATCACCGCAGTAGTCGTAAAATTCGGTGGCGCCTCCATCAGTCACGAAAGACGAGTAGTATCCCAGGCATGTTCGCGCGTCCACGGCGCACCAGGAGCCCTGCCACATCGCATCCGCAAGGCTGGCACCATCAGGCCAGCAGAGCTTCGCATGCCATGCTCAAGGAAGCGGCCATTACGCAGTCAACTTTGAGCTTAAATATCGCACTCACTTCATAATGCTGGATCAATTCGTTCATCGCCTAGGCGCTCACCAATGGGTCGTTGTTGGGATTGGCGCAGCCCGTGTGGTCGGCCCCGGTTGCATCCTTCCATGATGCCAGGCAAGCACACCCCGCCTGTGTCGTAGCTTGCACCACCACGCCTTTCACCCCAATCACCAGCGCTGACACTGTCCAAATAGCCAGCAGCATCAGGCCCGGCGGCCTTTGCACGCACAGCAGCATCCCCTGCGCGATGTACGCGGAGACAGCAGCGCACATTGACCGGAGGTCAAGCGCCTACGGCCCACGACGCTGCTGGTGCGCTTTGAGGAGCGTGCAGCGGCACTATTATGGCTCCCATCTGCCGCGAGAGGGCCCGCAAGGTACGATTTACGCGTTCAAGGCTCCGCACGCAGCACGGCAGATCGTACCTGCAAAGCCGTGAGAAGGAATTCGAATCTAAGGATCCGCAACCCACCATGGATCCTGGCGATATCTTCCAGCGTCCTGGTCCGAGCTCGGCTTATTTCTCGATCGCTCCTCCCGCCACCTTCTGTCACGAATACCGGTATGTAGCAGCACTCCTTGCAACGGTGACCTAAAACCGTACTGTTTTCTTGATTGTAGAGGTTGCTACCTTCGCTGACAAGGGCCTACGCTCGCTGACAGGTCAATGAGAAGACGTCAGCAAGGAACGCAGCAACAACACGCGTGTGCATGTACAGTATCCCATGTTTGTATGTATGACTGAGACAATACTATGATCCCACATCTAGCGGAGCATGGGCTGCTGGGAATCTGTATGAATTCGCTGGGTGTCATGCTGCAATTGAGCAGTTGCTGGTGACTTCGCTCCTGCTTGCTCTGCGCACTGATCACAGCTCATGCCCGTGATGCTGGGTCCCCACATTGAGACAGCACTCCTTTACAAGGCGGCAAGCACACATGAGGAGGGAATGGGACGGCCCAAGCCCTCAAGTGCAGCCGCCTGCACACAGCCATAGAGCTTCGTGGTGACCTGGCACAGCCGCCTGACAGCAGCAGGTAGTCAGTCGTCATCCGTAAAAGGAAACGCTTCTGCGCGGTGCTCCTTGAGCTTGAGCCGAATCTCATAAACCTCGTCACCCCGCAGCACGTCCTGAACGAACCGTGCCTCCACGTCCATGTTGACCTGGCGAGGGTGCAAAAGCCAGGGGGAGCAGAGAGTGTGGGTTGCGCTGCATGCCTGCATGAGCTGCAAGGCTGCATGCACGCATGCATGCACACGAGCAGTGCATGCAAGGCGAATCACTTGCATACTTGCGCATGCACATGTGACAAGAATGGGCAAGCTTCCATGCGAGCCTACGCCATTAGCATGAGCCGTACAGGCAGTGCATGCACCTCTCCATATCAGTGACAACCTGCACGCACGCACCATCTCCAGGGCGCCGCGTATGACGCCGCACAGCATGCCGCTGTACCGCAGCTCTCCGCGGTACTCCTCTGGCAGCTCAACAAAGTCTGCCAAAGGGTTGTCCGTCAGCACCTGCCAATTTGGGGAATCGGCACTTGTCAAGGAACAGGTAGATGCGCGGAAGGACACAAACACGCGCGGCGTGTTGCCTAGGTTTGGAAGCAAGTGCACCGCAAACGTGAAAGCCCAAGGGTTCTGGCACAGGTTGAAGTCCATACCCACTGTGTGCACAAATGCGCGTGCTGGCATGCATGCGCATGCATGCTGCAATCCCTCGCTTCTGCGCACAGCCATCTGCTGCTCAATCCATGATGCAGACGAGCTGTCAATTGGTTCATGCTGATTCACCCCTATTACGCACCAGGCTGCACTCTGTTCCATCTGCATTCCAGTTGGTGACATTGGCCGACACGTTCAGAAACATGGGCAAGGCCTGGCGTCCCACCACCTCAGCTGCCTCCCGGAAGCTGCTGCAGCGGCCCATCTGCAGGATGCAACAACATAAAGAAGATCAGGCCAAGATGAGATAGTTGACAGCAAAATCTCAGTCCAAGAAGGTGTGGCTGTCGCGAAAGCGCTGCCACCAAGCTTGAATACAGGGGCCACCCGCAAAAAAGACTCCTGCTCCCTGCTTACCTTGGCCTTTGCAAGGAACTCATCCACCAGCCGCACCCCAATGTTGTACCCCCTGACAAGGAGCGCGAGAGGTCAGGCGTGGGGCGCCAGGCGCGGGTTTATCAGTGCTGAGCCTGAGCAGGCACAGCCACCACTCCGTACTGGCGCCCTTGCATCGTCCCCAACACGCGCCGACAACCCGTCAAAGATGACGCTGCCAGCTGCGCCTCGCGCTCCTCATCGCCACCAGGCGGCGCGCCCGTTTCAGCGCCGCAACCAGGGCGGACCGCAGCCGAGTTGCGATCACCCACATCTGCTCGAGCTGCTTGTTGACCTCGTCCAGGTCCTCAAAGTCTTCTATTAGCTGCCGCACTATGGAGCCGTACGTCAACGTAAACACCTCTGCGTTCTGGGATTGGAGTCGGCCGAGACGGAGAAGGCGCCACAGGGTCGCAAGGCATGGCTTCAGGGAAGGAGCATGCGCAGGTGTGCAGCATTTGCAGCCACGTGCACACATTCTGACCAGCACCCAGCACAAGGTCGCCTACCCTAGCAACACAATGAGCACTCACGATCTGCTCCAACTGAGGCACCGGCCTTGGGGGCATCGCGGACGCGCCTGCTGCCCGCCGCCGCACAGAGCGGCGTTGCTGGCTCTTGTTAGCAGGGCGATGCTTCCAGCCGGTGATCCTTGGCTGCGGTCGAGGCTGCGCTGCCTACGGTTGGCTCACACGTGTAGAACTCAATCTGGTGGATGCGGTTTGGGCACGCTGGGGCCAGCGGCTGTCGTGAGCCGCTGTGTGAAGCTCTGCCAACCTCCTGGGCGAGTGCCCCCGCCGTCTGCGCGACCGGGTCGACAGTGGCGCCGCTAGTGATCTCCTGCCAGAGCAGCGTCGCTTGTAAGCGTGACAAACTTTCAATTGACGCCTGTGTTGTTTCGTGTAGGAGCGAGCAAGCTGCACGATCTCACGTCAGGTCCAGGTCTAAAACACCTGGTGCCAGGCTGGAAGTCGTGTTGCCGGAATTCTTGAATGTCACACGAGAAGCAGCTTGGTACGGTAGTGAGTTACTTTTGAAACAAAGGCGACGCAATCACGTCTGTCAGATCTGTCGAGCAATTTCCGCAATTCAAGGCCGTTGCTTCATTCACTCAGCTCGCAGGTGGGTCTAAAAAGGCCACTAGTAGCCTATGAGCTTCTTGCAGGGCGTGCATGCTGCCTGCATGTCCCACATGGCGACTGTGCTGGCGCATCAGCAAGCGGCAGTCTGCCGCCGCCCGCAATCCCATTTCCTGCTGTGCTGCTCTCCGAACTCCTCACAGGCCCTCCCAAGTTCCATCATCATGCAGCGCCTTGCCTTCCGGGCCCCGGCAACAGCCCGCGCCATGCCGTGTGCGGCGTTTCGGGCACCTGCTCAGCGCCGTGTTGTGCGTGCGCGTGCGGCGGCGGATGACGAGCTCCCCAACGTGTCCGAGGCCCGCGAGTGGGTGACGCGCTGGCAGGCACGCCAGGCCGGTGAGGACAGCGCGGCCACAGCCGCCAGCACCGCGGACGCGCCTGCCGCCCCCGCGCCCGCTGCTGCTGCAGCACCGGCCGCTGCCGCCGCTCCCGCTGCTGCTGCGCCAGCCGACGACGGCGCCAGCAAGCTGCAGGCGTGCAAGTCGTTCGAGGATGGCACTTTGCTGTTCACTGCCGATCGTCTCAAGTCTATCAACTTTGACGATGTCAAGCTGTGAGATTTGAGCAGCGGATGCAAGCCCTGAATTTATTGGGCGCAAGGGGCGATCAGAGCCGGTCATTGGGGGTAGGGGGCGCGGCATGGCCGGCACGCCCCATTTCACCCTGCGAACTATCCCTGGCCCGGCCCAGGCAGTTTTGCGCTCTATGCCGCCGGCTTTCTTGTCAATGCCGCTGGCGTCAGAAAAGCCGGGAGTGTGGTGTGGGGACGCCTCCTGCGCCCCGCTGCGCCGCCTGTGGCCCGCCAATATCGCAGTTGCAGAGCTCTGTTTTGCGGCGGAGCCTCCTTTTTGGTATCAGCTTCAACAGCCATTTTGCCCTGTGATGTGACGCTCTCAAACCAATCGCTGCCTGGACTTAACACACGCACTGCATGACAGTACAAAGTCGGGTCAATTTTGTGTTGAGTGTAGCATGTTCCAGTGGCCGTCGACCGCCCCGCACTGCTGTAAGGAGCTTCATGGCGAGTCTGTGAGCTGCCGGTTCCTGAGAGTTGGCAGGTACGGTATCTCCCTCTGCTTCACACGGTGCCCAGGTAACCGTCAGATTGGGCCAAACTGGCATGGATGGGATCGGGACGCAGTGCATGAGTGCACCCATGCATCGTGCATTTGAACGGCCAGTCGCTTCATCGCTGGTGCTGAATTATCCACTTGATGGGGTTGCCTTCGTGAACCTGACAGTTGTGGAATTGGTGTGTTTCGGGTTCTTTTTTGCGATCATGCTAGTGAGCTAGCAGTACTTGCGAACATAGCAGCTCGACGTGCCGTGAGAAGAAACCGCCGAGGCTCGCGTGGACCCAAGAGATGCCGCCAAAGAAGGCGGACAAGGGAAAATCGAGTGAGTATGGGAGGATGAAAAAACTTCATCACCTTGAGCCGAACGTACCAGCCACATTCATTTAGGCGGCCGCCGTCGCACGCGCGCCGCTTCGCCCACAGCCATGCAGCTCACAGCTGAACACAAGCCATCAATGCGTGCTGAACCCATTCGTTGCAGCTGATGCAATCAACAGACTCAGGGCATTTGAGGCAACATTCCGGGTGTCATGTGCGCAACGGGGTGTCCCGCCTTATCGACCGCTGCTGCGGCAGCTGCAGCAAAGCATCGACGATGGCAACGGTGCCCCCTTTGATAAGGTGATCATGCCGGCTGGATGTATCCAGCCTTCCTCGCCTCTGGAGATTCCTCAAAAGCAGTCACGCACGAGAGAGAGAGAGAGAGAGAGACTACGCAGGCTGTGACGCCCGCGTAAATTAAGGAAGAGGGGGCTGGCTTGCGGGGGCCGAGGCCGCCGCGCCGCCCCCTCACCAAGCAGTCACGCACGTTTCAAGGCTGGGTCCTATGCTTGCAATCAAGCAGACTGAATGCACGTGTCCGTGGTGCCGTGCGCCTGCGACGCAACCACAACAGGTGGAGTTGGCCGGGCCGGACGTCAGTGGCGCGACAGTCCAAGCAGTGGCCGACGGCCTCGCCGGCTACCCACGCTCCAGCCAGCTTTGCCTCTCTGGCTGCCACGTTGGCGACGATGGGCTCGCAGCGGTGGGCGCGTTGCTGCGGGCGTCCGGCGGCCGGTGGTGGCGCGGCAGCCGGATAACGACGCTCGAGATGCGGATGATGCAGCCGCGGGCGCTGTCATCAGGCGCGGCAGCTCAGGCGCGACGAGCGGCAGCGGGTCCCAGGTTGAGCACAGGCCTTTGCGACGCTTTTCCTGTGCGGCTGGGTTCAGCTACAGGCGGAGGTGCGGCAGCTGGGGGATCGGACTGCCCACCACCTGCAGCTGATGCACGGGTGTTGCCAGGGCCAACGAGCGAAGCAGCGCCAGTGTCCAGGGGAAGTGCGTCAGGAAACAAGCAGCCCGTGACATTAGAAGCAGCAGCAGCAGCAAAGAGTGTGTCTGCAGCAAAGCCAGCAGCCCCAGTGCAGCGGCTGAGCAAGGCAACTGTTGTGCAATTGTTCGTGAGGCCCAACACCGCGCCTGCACCCAGCGGCCCTGCTGCACATTCCAGGGCTGGCCGCAGTGGGTTCAGCATCGGTCAGCAGCAGCAAACTCAGCAGCAACAGAAGCACAGCGCGACAGGGACACGTGGTGAGCAGACCTTCCCTATTCAGCTGTCGATTGCCCAAGCAGCTGTGCGCGATAGGGCGCCGCTGCCCTCCGAGCTGCCACCCTCGATTGGGCGCCTGCGCACACCTCTACAGATGCGCAGCAGTTGCATGCTCGCCACTGTGCCAACCCGGCCGCTGACGGCTGTCGCATGTGCAGCTCAGCATCAGCAGCAGCAGCAGCAGCAGCAGCAGCAGCAGCAGCAGCAGCAGCAGCAGCAGCAGCAGCAGCAGCAGCAGCAGCGGCAGCAGCAGCAGCAGCAGCGACAGCGACATGAATGCTTCAGCCCTGGTGTCGTAAAGGACTTTGCCCTGGCGCTTGGGGTGACAGGACTGGCACTGACCTCGCTTGTGCTGGACTTCACGTGGCTTGGGGATGAAGGACTATCGCTGCTAGCTCCTGGGCTTCAGCGCTGCAGCACGCTCACCGTGCTGAGCCTCCGCGGCTGCGGCCTGAGCGCCGCAGGTGCACGCTCTCTTGCAGTGGCGCTCACGCCGCCACCGCCGCCTGCCGCGGCCCTGGCCGCGGCCGTGGCAGTCGGCGGCACATTCTGGTCGCAGCCGCGCATGGGCATGACACCAGGTTGCGATGGGGACAACAGTGTTGCTGGCGGCGGCACGTCAGCGACACAACACACCCGCTTCCGGCCGCCCGCTCTGGACGTAGCCTTGGCCGTCAGTGCTGCTGCTTACGGCACGCCTGCATCTGAAGTCATTGCCAAGCCGCGAGGGCCCTGGCGAGGACCATTGCTGCGCTCATTGGTTTTGAGCTGCAATGCCATCGGGGCTGCGGGGCTGTTGAGTCTGAACGCGCTGCTAAGGCACGAAACGGCGCTTGAGGTGAGAAGCTGCGGCAGTGGCCTCAGAGACGGGATCTTGAAGTACTGCTTGCGTACATGCGCGCGCGCACACGTGTGTGTGTGTGTGTGTGTGTGTGCGTGCGTGCGTGCATGTGTGTGTGTGTGTGTGTGCGTGCGTGCGTGCGTGCGCGCGTATGTGTTTGCCCATGGGAGGTGCGCGAGAGGTCCAGCCATACGCGATTACCGGCAGACTAGTGTACCAGGAAATTTATTGTATGACCCCACCAGGTGCTCGGGTTGTGCGACATTGGGTTGACATCAGATGATGACCTGGCAATCCAGGTGGGCCGTGACTGCTGGGGTATGGCAATCGCAAGCTGGCAGGTCAGGCAGCATATCGCGCCCAGACCAAGCCAGAGCTGCAAGCACGTCTCAGCGGCCGCATGTGACACCTCAATTGATTGCGACAAAGCTGACGTGCAGGACCTTGACGCCGTTGTTCCAGGGGCTGGTGTCTGCGCTGATCACTGGGTGCCCCGCCATCGCTGAGTTGGACCTGGCCTTGAACTACATTGGTGAGGGGCGGGGACGCAGCGATTTGCCTGGCGACACTGCAGCAGACCTCCGGCGTGTGGCTGGCTGTTTGCTGCGATGTCAGACCACTCAGTGGGCTGCACTGCCGACATAACGTGCTGGCAACCCAAGCCGACGCGGTACCACAACGCAGAACTCGCCACACATCGCAACCCGACCCGATGGGATACGCAGGCGACCGCGGCGCCGCGCTGTTCCTGGTGCTGCCGCCGGCGCGTCCCAATCTGGGCGTCCTGCGCGTGACGCCCCACATTGGCCGTGGGCTGGCGCAGCAGTTGGTTGCCCTGACGCGAGCGAACCACAGGCCTGCAGCAAAAAGGAAGAAAGGCGGTGGCCAAGGAGGTGGCACGGCAAAGGCATAGATTAGAGGAGTGCAGGTCGGGTTTCAGCGCTGCGTGCATTGCCCAGCTTGTTCCCAGCGGTTGGTGGTGCTTGATTTGGTGGCGGCGCAGGCATACATGCTGAGCTCATAGTGGCATGTGAGCACAAAACAAGGCCCACTAACCATGTCCTAGAGGTAATCAAGGCCCTCACTGGCTGTAACACTGCAAATCAGCTGTTGGCTTCGCTTGCCCGACAGGTTTTCCCGCCCACCAGCATGTTTGAAATCAGCACACTCTCACTGACACAAGCGGTGCAGCCTCTTGATCTTCTGGTCGCAATGTTTCTCACAGCAGAGCTAGTAATAGGAAGTGATTTCGCGAGTACAGTTCGAGGCTCGCGTTCCATCACGGCTGCGTTCATTTGGCGGCAACCAGATCCGTTGTTGATCGGTCGCGCCTTGGCCTTCTCATGGCGCTCCGAGAGCGCTGTCAGAACGTGTCAGAACAAGTGGGATCTGAAGACGCGCAACTGGGCTCACAGCTGAGCGACCAGGCGCCCCGTGCTCTGAGTAGGGGCAAGGCAGCAATGGTGGCATCTAAAGCAGCTGCCCGGGTGGAGTACCCAATTGAAGACAGGTGGGATATCTGTAATAATTGTATCAATATGCGGTCCCATGTACATTCGTATGTGATGGTGGCGGTTTGATCTTGTATATGGCGCTCCTCACCTGCAATACGCGAACGCAGTGAGGATCAGGACGACATGGACGGCGGATGCGACGATGCGGGCCCTGCGGTGCTGTCCGACAAAGGTGCCGCCAATGTGGTCGCGCCGCCCGTCGACGCTCGCAACGGCGGCGCTTCGCGCCGCGCCACCACGAGCGCGCGCCCGCGGGCGCGGACGCCCGAGTGGCAGCGCGACGACGTCGAGGAGGACGTGGACGGCATTGACTCGCCCAGCAGCAGCGAGGGCGGCGGCGGGTCTGATGAGGACTCCGACTTCCAAAGGCCGTCGAAGCCGGCGCGCCGCGGCGCAGCGCCGCGGCAGCAGCAGCCGCGGGAGGGCACGCGGCAGCAACCAACGCGCAATGGCGGCGTGCGGCGCGTGGTCAAGGACATGAGTGATGGGGACGGCGACGATGGCGACGACGAC